CAGTGGTACAATCCTACAGAACTATGGCGATTTAGTAATAACTACAACATCCAGGTACATTTTTATTTTCTTATGTTCAACTCAATATCCATCTCTCAAAATAAATATCTCAAATCCATTCAACAGGATCCTGGCACTTGTGACAATTATTTAAAGGCAAAACAATCATTGACATTCACATTGTACCATAAGCATTTGAACACACACTATTCACAATTATTGCTCTAATTTTAATAGGGTTATTATGAGAAACTGAACAAATCCATGCAAAGTACCTCAACGTTATTTGATATTACAGCAAAAGTGAGAAAAGTGGGAGTGAGTTAAAAGTAGAAGCTAAAATCATGTGGCAATGGGGCAACAAAAGACGTCTCAATTAGCCATCGGATTAAGACAAACTTTTACATTCAAAGTGTTAACTATTTCAACAGTTTGACATGTTTTTTTCTCAGTTTGGTGCAATGCTTTCAGATTAAATAAACCTTTGTGCCACTCAGGTGTTATGACAATTCCAGTGCAACGTTTACATTCTAAAACCCATAATTAACACCGTAAGTCTTGCTTTTATTTTTACACACTGCAGAAATTGATACCATTAGCAAGTCCTTTTTTGTTATCTTAATAGAAATAGGATTAAACTGTAGACAAGATTTGACAACGGAACATACATAAGTTCTAAATATCTAATTTTAAGGCAAGCAATTTCTGACCGAAAAAATGTGTGCTTGAAATAAGACTAGACTGACGAGACCTAGAGCGAAAAGGGAGAGAAAATACTCAAACGAGCTCCCAGGACCGTCAACCAGGAGGAGGGGGCAGTGCTGCTCACTCACACCTGGGATCATGTCCTAAAGAAAGACTGCAGATGGCACGTGAGCAGACAAAAGAGGTCAGGAACAAAAAAAATATTCTGGTCTATTTTGGGAAATGCATAATTTTTGTAGTAATCATTTGAAGACAAAGTTCGCATAATTTTAAGACTGTTCAATTTGACCAAATTCAAGATGATATTTACGTATTGTAATTATCTTTACGTTTTAGGTAATTTACTTGCTTACATCTTCAAACTTGTGTTTAGGCCATAAAAGAAACTCAATTGTTTCTGACATTCTTGCTTAAAATAATGTATTAATTAAAATGTTTCAATCAAGTAAATAGAACTAAAACTAGTCAAAAACCCACTGATAATAAGAAAACTAATATTAAAAGTGTATTGTGGTTTGTGTTGAAACGATACAATTATAATGCAACCTTCACCTACAGGGAACATTCTCCAAAAAAATACCGTAGTATAATGTATAATTTTATTGGATTCTGTTGGTTTTAAAGTGCTCCATTACCACATATTTTAACCACTTCCTTAAGCCACTCCCACTCCTCCACCGCCTGTATTTTTGTTACTGAAGCGTACATGCGGCGCCCCCCAGTGGAGAGCAACAGTGACAGGTTCAAGTCTGTGTTAGATGAAGTCTTTTTACAGTCAGTGTATGTGCTATGTACATTTATACAGTAGCTCCAATGTTTTTGTGCCTTTTTCACAATTTCAAGTATGTGCACGTTATACAAAAGACTTAAAATGATGCTGCGTTCATGGAAAACCCAGAATTTACACTTTTTTTTACACTACTTCCTGGTTGGACAAGAGCGGCAGATGTGATAGACGGAGTCACCATGGCAACCACATGTAAACAACGACCAAAGCTAGTCTAAATACTAGTTTAATATATTAATTTACAGTTTTAATGAATTGACAGGTACAAATATGGGCCACACATATAATTTGGACAATGGACTTTTACAAATTTCACATTTTAGTAGCTTGGCAAGCTGAAAAAGACAAAAGGGGGTTATCAGGCTATGGGTTTAGTGCATTTCCTTCTGTCTATTTCACCTTTTTATCACAAACTGCCACTTGACTGGTGTAAAACTATAATAACTAGAGAAACAACCGACGCATACACACTTTAACAGAAAGCAAGTATGTCAATGTATATGTAGGTTGAAATCCCATGACTGCAGCATTACTTTAAATGTGAAAAAAACAAGACAGTGTGTTAAAACAAACCCAAACAACATATTGAAAACATGTTTATGTAAAACCAACCACAAAATAATGTCAATAAATAACAATATGAATGTTAAAGAGGGCAGTACAGTGCATTATTAAGTCAACATAATAAGCTTCTGCCTGCTATCCAAATCAGGAAGTAGCAATCTCATTATTGATGTAAAACAATGTTAGCAAAGTTCACTTCTATTCGCTCTGCTCTCATAGGCCCTTTACCATGAACGGTATGCTAGGAGTGGACTGACTGAGTTCCGACGCCACCATAGTGTTTGCTTTGTGCGGAAGAAGCCGATTTTAACAGGAGCAGACCATGGATGTGTTGGTAAGGCAAGTTTGTTTCCCCCGTGCATCTGATTGGTCTTATAGCTCACCAGGATCACAGCGAGCCCTAAACTAGATTTTTCAGGCCCAAAATGAGTTCAATTTTCAATGTAAAGTCAGTAGAATCCAGAGCGAGTTGAACGATGCTAACACTCGGGCTCGGCATGTTGCCTTTAATTTGAGGCCTTGAAGACACAGGGCATAAAAATACAAAAACTACAATGAAAGCAAAAACGCATTTTAATTAAGATCATTTTAAATCCAAATATTTTATTCAGAGCAGAATAATAAAAATGTGTTATTTCTCCTCTACTCTTGACTTGAACAAAACACTGTACTGCCTCTTTAAAAACAAAACTACATCTCAGTGTAAAAGCATATGTAATATTTATTTAATTTCTGCCGTGAAGAAACCGAACACCTTTAGTGATTCTTAAAACGCCATGATAAAATGGATGTGATTCTGGTTGTCCCTGTGACGTTGTACTTTTCAGAAGGTGTTGTGATGTGGTTGTAACAGCGCTGAGGTAGCTGTGCTCTGCCTAAAGCAGAAAAGAACGACAGATGGAGAACAGACGGACGCGAGCAGCCAGGTACACTTCAAATCATTGGTCTGTGGAGTTTAGAGGGAAAAATAAGTAATAAAAACACATTATATGACTGGACTGGAGACTTGACAACCACTCTTTACTCTGTCCACTGTAATAATACTGTTACATCTCTATTTTCAAAAGACATTGTGCTTTCGTCAGCTCTATTGCCCCGACACCAGTGCATCTGTATGTGATTTAAAACAATAAAAATAAAGGGGAATTTGCTGTGCCATTTTTTGATGTAACCACAAAAAATATGAATATATCTCATGCTAATTGGTGCTCCGGAACAAGTGCCTTGAAATTAAATTAACTCTTTATGACAAGGCAAGGTTTGTATAACAGATTTCTGGAGTTGAGATAAACGTATAATAAAAACAAAAGTCAATAAAAAAAATGGGGCAGTTTTTCTTCATACTCATGCAAAGTGTTAACAAAAAAAAAAAACGGATTTTCAAAAATAATACCAAACTAGTCTTAACTACTGAAATAGAAACGGGGAAAAAAAAACAAGTATAAATATAATCACTTTTGACTTATGGGAAGTTTAACACACAGTAACAAGCTTTTTTTTTTTAAAAGGTGGATTTTGCTCAATAACAGACCAATGACCCGAAGTCTATGCTCCCCTGAAATGCATCTCTCCAAAACGCTTTACATTCTCGTCCCCATACCCCAGCCCAAAATTACTAAAAATTCATCGTTATAAAACAGCTTTGTAAATTCTCTGTACAGCTCTTACAACTATTCTGTAGTTACTTTTATTATGCTTAAAACAGGACCAAAATAAGAACACCTTAAATAAAAACATGGGACGTCTGGACATTCATTTCAAACAGATTTACAAAGCCAGATTCTGTCCGTCGCACGATAGTAGTCTTGTTATAGTCGACTAGACAAACCCGGGGATATTCACTCATGAATAAAGTTGACTCTATTCTTTTCTGAAGCAAAAGCAGCTCTAATGGTTTTTACACGAAGAGACTGAATACAGCTCTTTAAATGACTACTCTACTCTACTCTACTCTACTCTACTCTACTCTACTCTACTCTACTCTACTCTACTCTACTCTACTCTACTCTACTCTACTCTACTCTACTCTACTCTACTCTACTCTACTCTACTCTCACAGTGGCCAGAGTACTGCTGGAAGCGATAGTTACTGTGGAAATGCCGGGGATAATGGTTTGTTGTGTGTTGGTTATGAGGATACTGTACCAGATACTAAAGCGTAATGGTAGAGTAGAGTAGAGTAGCCCAGAGTAGAGTGGAGTAGAGCCAAGTAGAGTTGGGCCTGGTGAAAATGCAGCTAATGACCCTGGAAAAGCCAATGTTTCAGCTTCTTCCCTCTGAAAAGACACTTTCTTCACACAAGCTGTTGCCCGCCTGAACAGAGCACTTGATTGGTTGATCTCGCACTTAATGGCTTCTAGTAGGTGCTTGCTTTTAAATCTCCCAGTTTCACAGTGTCTTCCTATGTACCCTTAAAGCTGGAGTATCTAACTTTCTGCCAATCAGCTCTCAGTATGTAAAAGATAAGATGTTGTGATCAGATTTGAAAAAAGTTAAAGTACTCCAGCGGTTTTCAATATTCTCTTGCGCACACTGGGAATTTTTGCACAAATATTCCAATGTGGTTTTCTCAGACTCAGACCACTCTATTTATCCCACTGTTTTACAATGCAAATGGGAAAATGGACTGAGTTAGGTTCAGGAGGGGGGACTAGGGCTTGTTTGGCTCACCTCGGGGTAAACGCATTAGAGTCCACTCCATTAGGCCCAAGTATGAACGCACCCAAAAACATGTCATAACAGTCAGTAGTTTTCCATACCCCATTCTGTCACGTATTAAGTCACTCATTTCAATGCACAGTATACGTCCACTTTCCCCATGATGAAAGTTAGTGATGGTGTTATGTCCACTTCACGCGGTGCTCAGGGCCAGGGAAAGGGAAAGAGGTGAGGTGGGGGTGACTGGGAGAGGGGGGGGGGGGGGGGGGGGGGGGGGGTGGAGGCTTCAGCGCCAAAGGGAGGCCAGGTTAGTGTTGTCGGGGAGGTAGACCCACAGCACCAGGGGCAGCGACAGAGCCACGAAGGGCCAGGAGATGCCGTTGGTGCAGGGGGGCAGAGCGCAGCCTTTAGGGGGCGCCTTCTCCAGGGGTTTACCCATCTCCAGGTAGTTCCGGGCCATGAACTTGAGCAGCTCGTCCAGCAGGATGACGGGCAAGGAGATCTTCAGCACCATCAGCCACTGGGTCGAGTCCAGGGGAGTGATCTGGAAGATGACCTGCGAAGAGGAGAGATCAAAGGGTTAAAAGAATACATTTGGATCCAGTTAGAAGCATTGTTAAGATACAGGGGTAGCTCTGAAAGTTAGAATATTGTTCAAATGTCCATTTACGTATCTAATTCAACTGAGATATAAGTATAATTGGCTAACAGCTTGTAAGAAATCTCAATTAAGACCAGAAAATTAGAATATTTTTGCATATATATATTTATTTGTTAATACATTAATATATTAACAAAAAAAGGCTTGCCATATGTCATTTTGATTGAGTATTTTTTATTATTCAAAAAAATAAGAAAAGGAGGTTGAAGTCACTAAATAGTACAATATCATGGGTCATAAGTTTTACGCAGGGATTGGCTGCGAAATGTATGTGTTTCTCACTCACCGGCAGCGGCTCCACGTAGAGGATGAGGAAGTGCAGAGACATGGAGAGACAGATGGCCCCCAGGAGCCACACGTTCTCCCAGGGAGGCATCCGCAGCAGGGACTGGTTCTCCGACAGACTGACACAGAACACACAGCATTTTATTCCTTCAAATCTAATCAATTATAAACAGGGCCTTAATCTCACAGGTTTTTATGCTAAAGTTAGAGATTTTATTTTATTTTAGTATAGAGTGATTGTTAATTTATCTGATGCTTTTGCTTTGTTTATTTTGTGGTATTGTATTTTAATCGGTAGCACTTTGAGGCAGAAAGCATTTTTTACCCTTCATACTTTCACAAAATATTGTTAAGACATATTTTCCCATTCTAAAACATGAAGTCTATTTAGGTCACACTTTAGTTTAGCCCTCACAAAATTAGCAGCTAAAAAAAAGTTATATTTATGGTTAATTAGCTCTTAATTAGTATTCATTAATCACTTATTATTCTTATATTTAACAAGGCTTTATTCAACGATCTACTTTTTGACACTTTCCCACGTGTGTTAGCTTTATGGTTAAGGTTAGGTTTAGGGCTAAGGCTGGGATTAGGAAAAGGATACACTGATTAGCTGTTAATTAGAGAGGGCTAATCCAAAGTGTTATGGTTCTTTAAAGACAGAAATTGAGTGGTTGTTTGTATCTTGATCCACTGTTATAAGGACCTTCAGCTCCATGAGTCCCGCGCACAGGCGACTTCACAGCGAGAGCTCATTACGAACCTTTTTAACATCAAATTCATTACAATTGGCATTCTTGACAAAACAAACAGGACAGGTCTAACAGCCGAGTCAGCTGAAATGAAATTGTGTGTGATATTCATACACTTTATAATCCATACATTAGTTCTAATTCTAAAACATGATTAGGATTATAGGAGTGCGATAACCAAATGTGAAGCTTTGTTCATTCCATCCTCCATTAAGGACTGATGATCCGGACACTGACCTGTTGAGGGCGTTGCACATCTCGATCGTCACCAACACAGACAAGGCCATCGTCATGGGATACGGAGACTCAAAGACGTGACAGTCCAGACCCTCAAAGTCCGGGTTGTCCGGCTCACACTGAAGGAAGTGGCTCTAAAAGAAATCGAAAATCACATTGAGGATAAGGAGCATAATGGTAATTGCATGTTCTTGATCACATAACACAACATTCAGAAAGTTGGGTCAAACATAAAAACAACCGCGTAGATCTAGAGCAGTCTGACAGAGCCTCACCAGTTGGTACAGTGTGATCTGAGGTCCGTCATCAGACAGAATGAACCACCAGGCAGCAGCTCCCACCGTCGCAGCGCCAACATAACCTGCACAAACATGGAAGAAAACCATTTTAAAAGTTGTCATAGAAACCAATATATGACAAGACGGTGACCTAAAAACCTCATTAAGCCGTCCCTCTGTTGAGAAGATTATGTGATATAAAGTTTAAGGATAATGGCCTATGTAAAGATATAGATACATGTTTATTTTTGGTGCTTTTGTAACTTTTTTCTATGTAAGATTGCATCCACGCGACATGCATTCAGCTGTTGTCATGCGATGCCGGATTCGCTGTTTGCGTTACAGTGGGGCACTTTGGTCCAAACTCACATCCGATGGCGAGGTATCTGAAGAAGAGCCAGCCAGAAATGAGCGGCTCCTTGGCGTTCCGTGGTGGTTTCTCCATGATGTCCAGGTCTGGGGGGTTAAAGCCAAGAGCGGTGGCTGGAAGACCGTCTGTGACCAGGTTCACCCACAACAACTGCACCGGGATGAGGGCCTCCGGGAAGCCCAGAGCTGCGGTCAGGAAGATACTGCAGCACAAAGGGAAGAATCAGGCTTTTTGCTTTTCAAACAGCCTGCACAACACAATGAATTTCTAAATACATTGTTGTGAATTCAAGATTTTATAATTGGGTTAGATACTTGCGTTCATGTGACAATCGCAACACTCAAAAACGTCTATAGCTTATTTCCACTGCCCTCCATAATGTGGTGAATCTTATCACCATCACATAACGATCGGAGAAGACATTTGGACACTGGGTAGTATTGGACTCCATCTCCAACTGTAGAACGTGAACGCAGCCCTAACCCGAACTGATATACTCTACCTCTGTATGCTCTAGAACTGATAGATGAGATATATGAAAAGCCTCGATTCTCTACACATTCGCAATCAAAATCTATAACATTTTAGCTTTTTTTTTTTTACTTTGCATGGTTGTCTCGAAGGAAGTTGTCAATTCGTCAACAGCAGATCAGAAAATCAAACCGTTCAAACACAGGAAATGCAATAACAACACATAGGAGCCATTGGTTCATAGAGAGAGGAATGACCAGTGTCCATAAATGTCAAATAAATCAGCATATTAATAAAGAATTAGATGAGAATAATCCATTTCTAATTGCTGATTAGCTATGATCTTGCCGTCCATGAAACTTCATCCGACAGAATATTAACAGCTCATTTAGAGTGATGGATATTCTGAGTCTCTAAATCATTCAACAGTTCAATTTCTTAAGAAAAATAAAGCCCCAAAAATCTAATAATTTATTCGTTGTCCCATTTCTGAGCATTACTGGAACATCCACTCGGAACTTCGTGAGACATGTTTCTAACTGACGTACAAACAAAGGGACAGACGACAGACCCTGGAGGAGGAAAACTGACCAGACGACCTCGCCCACGTTGGAGGAGATGAGGTATCGGATGAACTGCTTCATGTTGTTGTAGATGGCTCTTCCCTCTTCCACCGCGGCCACGATGGACGAGAAGTTGTCGTCGGCGAGGACCATCTCTGAGGCTGATTTGGCCACAGCCGTCCCGGAGCCCATGGCGATGCCGATCTCCGCCTTCTTCAGGGCGGGAGCGTCGTTCACACCATCTCCTGTCTGAGGACAATTTGTATGAATCAAAGAGTTGACTGAATGACTTTTTATCTCTTTTCAATGCCATCCATCCATCCATTTTCTACCCTTTAATCCATTTCTGGGTCAGGGGGGTGGCAGTCAGAGATGCCACCCAAGTCTCATAGCACCAGCCCCTCACTGACCCTCTGCAGGTGGTGAGTCCACAGGAGGACGGCTGCTCTCTGAGTGTGAGCATAGCCTTGATCTTTCAGTGGGGGCTTTGGGCAAAGTGGGGTTAAGTGTCTTGCCCAAGGACACAACGACAGCAGTCATCAGTGGGAGTCGATGGAGAAGGTGCAGAGGTGGGAATTGAACCCACGACCTTCTGGCCTTAAGGCCAATGCTCTACCAACTGAGCTACTGTCGCCCCAATGCACTGTGGATATTTATGATTTTAATCCCATGTGATTTTAATGGTTGTAAAAGGTTTTTAGTTACTTGTGGATTTTATTAGGATCTTATTTTTCATGTTTTTGATATTTGTTATGATCTTAAATGTTTGTTCTTTTATGCCCTGTGGGATTTTAATTGTATTTTTCCATGTTTCCATGCTGATCCATGTTGTGAGGCGCTTTGTGTTGCCTTGTGTAGGAAAGGTGCCCTACGAATATACGATTGATTGAAAAAGTCCATCCATTTTCTACCCCTTAATCCACATGTGTCAAAGTCAAGGCCCGCGGGCCAAATCCGGCCCGCGAATGAATTATCTATGGCCCCCGGGACATTGCCTGCCATTGAGGCAATGTATTGACCCCTTAAGCTCGCTAGCCCCCGCCGGCGGGAGCAATCGAGGAAAAAAATACATCTGCTGGCAATAGCAGATGTATTTTGAACTTCATAAGCCACAAGCTATATATCATTTTAAAGCTTATTTTCTCAGCTATATTTATATGTAGGTGTAGACTTTGCATTAAAAAGATATAACGCATAATATGGGCACAAAATAAATCACGTCTGTATTTGTTTTTTACCTTTCGTCTTCTGCTGCTCCAACAAATTAGACTTTCCCCATCCTTGCTTAGTCTCTTTCTCTCCGTAACTGTTCATTGAAGAAGAATATCCACTTGTATTTCCCAAAGTATAACCCATTCTGCAGATTTAATCAAAAAACGCCTTGAAAAGAGGTCCAGACTTCTCTTTTACATTTCACCAAGTTTGAGCTTTTTTTTTTTTTTTTTTACTATTTTCATGTTCTCAGATGTCTATTACATCTAATATGTACAGTATGAGGATTGGCTTTAGAGCATATTTTATCGAGCCAGCAGGTGTCACCGGCACTGCCTCTGGATGTTGAGAAACATTGAACCAGTCCGGCCCTCGGCGCGTAGCAAACATTTTTTTTTGGCCCTCTGATGTATTTGACTTTGACATGCCTGCCTTAATCCATTTCTAGGTCGGGATGGGGGAGGAGGGGGGGGGGGGGGGGGGGGGGGTGGCCAAAGGTGCCACCCAGTACACATAGCACCAGCCCCTCACTGATCCTCCTGCAGGTGGCGAGTCCACAGGAGGATGGCTGCTCTATGGCAAAGCCTTGATCTTCCAGCAGGGGCTAAGTGGGGTTAAGTGTCTTGCCCAAGGACACAACGACAGCAGTCATCAGTGGGAGTCGGTGGAGAAGGTCTCATGGTGGGCTCGAACCCACGACCTTTAGGCTCAAAGGCCAATGCTCTACCAACTGAGCCACTGTCGCCCCTGATTGAAAAATTAATCTTCCTTTTAATATTGAACTCAAGTGTAGCTGTAGTCTTGCGAGTGCAGTTGGGGTCTTATCATTTATTTAGAACGTCTGGCTCTACACTGACTCCAACTTCAGTGCAGGTCCACTTCAGGCTCGCTGGACTTTAGAAAGTGATAAAACCTAATGACCAGGCTACACTCACCTCGGAGCACTCACAGTTTGGGGGCGGAGTGGCTGTACGGAAGGATTCTACAAATGTTTAATTACCAGGAGACCTCTGTGGTGTCCGGTAAAAATCACACACTTTGGGCTAAAAACACACTGCAGATGACCAAAGGGAATAAAACATAACATACAGACCACAATCCACTCCACAAAGAAATGTGCCGCACTCAAACCAGTTTACAGCAGTTTTGCTCTAAAGCCAGTCTATCGTAGCACTCACCATAGCAGTGATCTCGTCAAAGCCCTGCAGATACTCCACGATTTTAGACTTGTGCGACGGCTCCACGCGGGCGTAACAGCGTGCTCGGGTCACCGCCTCCCTCTGAGCGGCCGGGGACAGTTCGTCAAACTCCCGCCCGGTGTAGGCCATTTTCTCCACGTCGTCGTCCTCTGTCAGGATGCCGATCTTGCGGCAGATGGCCACAGCGGTGCCCTTGTTGTCGCCGGTGATCATGATGACGCGGATCCCGGCCTGACGGCACAGTGTGATGGAGGCCGCCACCTCCTGCCGGGGAGGGTCCAACATCCCCACACAGCCCACAAAGGTCAGCTCGGACTGCGCAAGAAAAGATGCAAAGCACAAGTTATTTTACATTAAAGAGATTAATCTTTATACTTTTGCATTCAGTAAGTAATCTTCATTTTTAGAGCGCATTTCACAGACCAGAGTCACAAAGCGCTTTACAATTGTTGTGGACTTTTGTCTTTCACGCCACACAAAAATGGAAGCAGGGTCGCCAGTACACTGGAGGCGCATGCCAGACCTATTGTACGGAGCACCCGGAGGACACAGGGAGAACATGCATACTCTTCACAGAAAGGCCTGGAGGTGGACCACTGGTACACACCCAGTAATGCACTTTGTTGATTTGCGAAAGTTTTTAGCCCACGGTGTCATTGAAAATCTCTAAATATAGAAATGTTTTACCGGTTTCTACTTCATGCTAGATTTTGATTTTATTTTATTTAGTATAGAGTTATTGTTCATATATCTTGTGCTGTGTGCTCCTCATCCCTACTGTTCTGTAGCTGGAGATGCAACCTGAAATCTCCCCACTGTGTGGCGAATAAAAGATCTTATTCTAAAAAGATAGCAGCATTGCGGGCCCAAATCGCAGGCACATATTTCTCTGCATGTCATGTATGCTTTAAGGTTATGAAATGGACTAACTGCCAAGGACATCACGTAAATCAAAAACAAGCTTACAAATATGAGATCCTTTCAGCGTTCCCATTCGTAATCATACAGTCACTCAATCTGTTACATTACAACTCATCCGTGGCATTTGAGTCAGAGCTTTCATACCTCGTACTCTGAGAACTTGGCGGTTTCGGTCAGGATCATGTCCGCCATCTGTGGGGGAGAGTCTCGAGTGGCCAGAGCCAGACAGCGGAGCGTGTCGCGGCCCGTCCCGTAGTCGCGGATCACGGACAGGATCTTCTCCTTCACGCCTTTGGTCATTGGGACTTTGGAGTTGCCCACCCTGACGTGAGAGCACCGATCGAGCACTCCCTCTGGCGCCCCCTGTCAGAATAAAACAGGCATAAAGGATACTCAGTTTGCCTCCATGTGTCTGTTGATAGGATATTCCCAAAAACTAGCTGAAATTAAAGTGAATTTCAAGATGATTTATGGCCTTGGCGGGGTTTGTGCTCTTTGTAAATTTACAAAAACTTAAAACAGGAGTCAAAGACAATATCACAATATAAACACCAAGATCATAGAGAGCACTAAAACATTAATTTCTAAAGGCCCAAATGGTGAGCGTGACACAAACTGAGCTAGAAGAGGTTCTTTTCAATGCCAATAGGAGCCAGAGCGAGTTGAAGCAAAACTTTGTCCATGAGCACTTCTCTATAGGGCGTCATTGAAATGTTTTTCCGTTTGTACTCAATGGTCCAAAGCTAGCCACATTAGCAGAAAACTTCTTGTTTCTGAAGAGTGCTATGTCAGTCGACGGAACCAACAACTGAATCTTACCTTGACAAACATTTTCCCCATTGAAGACCGGGACTTGTTGGGGGTACAGTACACGGACATGGATTTGCGGTCTCGTGAAAACTCAAGCGTGAACTCTTTCTTCATCAGCTGCTTTATCACCTGTACAACACAAGCATGGAGGAATTCACAAATAATAGTGCTGATTTCCATATACAATGACAATATTTTTAAAAAGGCCAATGCAATGTTTAGGTTGTGTGAAAAAGACGCTTGGAAACTGTTTGATTTGAGCTCATTGTTGGATATGTGCAGCGGTGATCGTCAAGTAAACAAGGGCCAAAGTAAAGACCAACGATGACTGTGAATGTGGTGTGTATTTAGACAACCATGGTTTGTAACGTACAACGGTTCCAGTCTGTTGCAGTCCTGTTTTTCTCCAGCCGTGCAGGTTCACGAGGACAGCAGTTTAATTGCAGAGAGACTGGAGTAGACTGCAGCGGGGGCCGGCAAAAATACACCCAGTGTGGAAACGTCCTGCACCCCGAGGTCAGTGTACGCCAGCTCTTTTGATTTAAGCTATTTCTAAATCCTTTGAGAGCTGCTATTTGGAGTGCATTATAGTACCAACATGTTTGTTATTGATGTTGTCGTGCAGAAACAACATATGATAATTCTTAATGTATTGTCCATCAGTTTGTGTCCCTCTACTCCACATGTTAGAAAATATGGCACTAAACTTTATCCACAATCTTTCTAACCCTCTCAGGGCCCATTTAAATTTCAATGACATGAAAAGCCTGATATATGGAGAAATCTATCCTATGGGGTGACAATCCCAATTTTCTTTTTGAGGGAGACCTTCACAGGCAATGCATTCTGGGATGTTGCAGATTTGCAACATTGGCCTGCTGTGTTAAATAGAGCTGACCCGGGTAAAACCCAGAGGAGATATCATCTACTAATTGGCATGTTCTGTATCTATATATATTAATCTCTCATTGTATACAGTTTTGGTTTCAAATTGCTGGAAGTTGGTACTGAGACTGAAATTGATGCCTTGAAAATCCATTTCGGTGAAACCAAGGAGCCTGACCTTTTGGAAATGAGACAGCTCAGCCCCCTGGTGAGCAGGTGGAAAACTGTGTGTTGCTAAAACTCAAGTCCAGCTATGGATGTGGAATAGTTAGGTAATCAGAAATTAAGTTGATGCAAATGGCTGGAGAGGGTTAAAATACTGTGATTATATACGTTTCATTTGTGAATTATTGAATGTTTCACTTTGAATTGCCCCGAGTATGAACTGAGCTCCACAAAAAAATTGTCTCATAGAAAAAGATTTGTCCAGCCCTGCACTATATCATCATAAATATTTCATCCACATAAAGTTTGACTCCTTCTCTGCAGTGAACTTGGTCTCCTCTTCCCTGAACAGAAGCCTGACATGTAGCTGGGGCTGAGTCAGAGGCGGAGAGCGCAGCGTGAGCAGCAGAGGGACCGGTGTCACTCACAGAGTTGCAGGCGTTGGCGCGGTCGATCTTTGACAGGTTGTGCACTTCGGTGTCAAAAACGTTCATTTTCTCCACCAGACAGGTCAGGGCCGTCTCCGTGGCTTCTCCCACCTTTTCATAAACTCCTTTCACCTGCAAAACAAGACCGCAGTTTAGAGCAGATGCCTTTGCTCACTTTGAACTGAGCTGAAGGAGAAATCCTTTTTCACCTCATTGAAGTCCAAAGAGGAGTCGTTGCAGAGGGCACAGATGGTGGCTAGTTCAACCAGGCCGTCAAACTGAGAGGATTTCACTTGTTTGTTGTCTTGATACCTTAAAACAAGATAATATAAAGAATAACTATGTATATAATGATATATATCATTGTTTATAAACTATAAACCATGTTAAAATCAAAAACATGGTGTGCATACTTAAAGAGCTCTGTGATGGTCCTCTCTTTAGATGAATTTGATGATACAATATAAAAAAAATGTGTGGTTTGAAAGTTATGTACTCCAGCTTTAACAATCAGGCTTGTTTATTTTGTGTCCATTTAGATCTCCTGTCATCTTTAAGTTAAACAACTTTCTATGTTTCAATTACAAAGACCTAGGGGTTGTAATGAAGGATTATGAAGATAATCTATTAGTTGGTCGATTATAATAATAATTTTAATAATCAATTAGTTGTGATCAATCAATTGACTTTTTACAGCCCAAGATGAAAGACTTTTCAAGAGTTGTAAACTTAAAAGTAGAAGCAGAACAGTTCAGCCATCAGTTTATTCTGTGTCAGAAACAGAAAACAAACTTGTCCTCAGTGTGGGAACAGAGATAAATCATTTTGGAGCTGCTAAACACGTTACATTTCCTGCTCTGGGACAGAAGACGGATGCTTGTTGTTGCACTCACACTTCTCCCTCTGGGGCGTAGGTCGACCCCGTGACTGTGAACTCGCTCAGGGAGCAGCTGTCCCCTTCGGCTTTGTTCAGGATGAACATCTGCAAAACAAAAATAAACTTCATTTTTCCCATAATCAGACATCACTCAGAGCAGCGTCACAGATCATTCTCCAGTCGTGCAGCAGGTGGCAGCAGCACAGAGAACAGCTGTGAGACAAATACAGGAGAGAGAGCCCTGAAGCTTTTGCGAGGAACAGACAGAAGACAAATTCTACAATTAAAATCATGTTTTCAAATCTGATTCCCTTTTCTCAAAAATACCCATTTGAAATGAGTGAAACTCGAATTAAATCTGTAGGGGACAGAGTTTATGAAAAATGTGTGAAGACGTGACTGTATAGTTTTGGCCTTAATGCTTAATATACACTACCATCTATTTATATGTGGTAACACATAGGGCTCTGAACGTATGAAAGGGTAATATCCATTAGTTGGCCCATTATACTTCAGAGTCCTAGATTTCCCCACATTGGGACAAATAAAGGATCTGTTAATCAAATTTATATCAGTGAATATGGGATTGTTTATAAATTCAACCAAAACAAATCATTTCGATTAACTTGTTACAGCCCTAGTAACACGTGTTTATCTTGTTACAGCCCTAGTAACATGTGTTTATAGGAAACAAAAGCAAGCACACGATTTCTTAATAATTGTATGAAGATCTGGCAACCCCAGTGCAATGCACATTCACTGCATTTGAGACTTGGGGTCTACTGGGTCCACAGTAATGGTAGTTTAAAGTTGTGCAGCTTCCTAAGTTCCATTTTGCCTCTAAAATGTAAATGTCTGATAAACATATTCGCTGAAATAAGTGCTCTAACTTAAGAGCAGTGGTTTTGAGGTGAAGTAGAATCTTTGTCCTTTTTTGTGAAATTGACATCTATCCATACCACCTTTTCCAAAACCCCCATACCAGAGAGAGGCCAGAGATTTCTCAATCGAAAAAAGTGGTTAGCGCTTGTACTTCACAGCAAAAAGGTCCTGGGTTCGATTCCAACTCCAGGCCTTTCTGTGCTCTCCCTGAAGGTTTCCTCTGGGTGCTCCAGTTTCCCCAACAGTACAATAGCAATGGAGGTAATAAGTGAGTGATGGATGGTGCTGGTCAGAGGCTTTGATGCGCCAGAGTCAGAAGTCTCACTTGTGTCCTCACTGTGTGTGGAGTGAATGGAAAAATATGGGTAGTCCAAACATTGTAAGGTGCTGTGTGACTTTGGTCTGTGAAATGCACAACTATATGAATAAAGATTACTTACTATAACGCTCAGGAAGTGAATAAGTTTTGCATCCTGTATTGGTACACAAGCAAGTACATTGTGCAAGTTTTCAACCTATTTAGAAGAATTTGACCTCAGAAGAAGTGTACCTCAGTTGCACTTTTTGAGCTTGTATACATACGCCAGTGGTGCAGTGTTTATCTTGTTTAAACATGATTGAATTACATTGCTAAAAGTTTATTTAGTTTGTATCTTCTCAGTCCTCCCCCATGAAGACTGATTGTCATGCTGGGAAAAAAACTCAAGGCAAAAAAATTAGAGAAAGCATCTCCTGCCGCTTGCGAGGCTGAATATGAAACTGGCAGAAGAAAAAAAGAGGAGCTAGAGATGAATATTATAATGCACAGAAAACCATGGAAAATTTCACCCGGCAAACTGTGATTCAATTTGCATGTGCGTTCAAAGGCTGTGAGAGATAAACGCTACTTTCTCTGGTTTAATGAATGGCTCACAGTGGCAGCCTCTAAATCACTAAAAGCAGAAGTAATGGCTTAGTACTTTATCAGTGTCGCTGCAGCGTTGGACCCCAGCAAACTTCGACAATACCACCACAAGCAAGCTTTAGTCAGAGTCAGAGCATAGCCACTAAAAAGGATAACGGCTTAGTAAATGCTGATCTGTCCGCTTTGTGTTAGCCTCTGCTGCAGTAGGATGCCACTCACTGATGAGGAGAGAGGACATGCTACAGCTAGTTTTTCCTCCTTTCTTGGTGACGCAGGAAAGTTACACAACAGCAGCACTGCAAGTCACCCGGCACTTTGTAAAGATCACAGGCAGCTTTTTCAAATAATGTCAGGAAGATGCCACAGATTCAGACAATGCCTCGACTTCAGACAACACATGGGAGGTATGGATGAAGCTGCACAGCAATGCACCAAATCAGTCAAGTCTCCTCCGTGAAATTTTATGTCTAGTTCTTGGGTCAATATTGTCCTGCGGAGGGGGCTACGCAGATGGTGGAAAATTAAATTAGATTACAAAGATGAGGATTATGCGTGTGTAAAAGGTAAGGATGGAATTTTTCTATGTACTTAAAAGGAATATTACAGCCAACGAGTCAGTAAAGGAAAACTTGTATCTTGAGAGTTGCTGAGCAAAAGCAACAATTTTGACGTTGGCCACTTTCTAATCCTATGCCTTATTTGGGTTCATCGTACATAGAAAGAAGAATTACAAATGTTTTCATGGCTGAAAAAGCAGACAGTCTATCGTAGATTGTTTTTATGTACGGACGATGCTAGCCCACAGCTCTATGAATCATAATAGGGAAGTGACCATGGGCAGAGTTTTGTTCCTATTCACTTTGAAACTCTTTTCTTTAGGGCTTAAAAATACATGGTTTAACGCTCAGTATGATCCTGGTGTTAATATTTTTATAGCGTCCTTGTATGTCCCGTAACAACTGACCGATCAGGTGCCTTATGTCTCCCCATGACTTATTCAAGCTAGCCTTAATCGTCTTCTCCACAATAAAGCAAACACAATGGATGACGTCTCAGGTTCGGTTTTTCAGGAGAGGTACTGAGAATAAGTTTGTAGTCAAGGATCCTATATCCGATATATTGAGCCATTATAAATTTGTGTTACATTTTTTAAACCAATACTTGCACACAACATTTTTCTATAATTAAATATATAATAATAATTCAATAATAGCTCCCACCGGATGTGATGTAACAGCAGAATTGGAAAGAGCTCACAGGAAACAGAGGCTTGTTTTTGATATACAACTGAAGTCAATTTTGACCCAAATAAAGTAAACTAAGTTGTAAATATACAATGGAACCGCGTTAAAAATGCTGCAATAATCTGTCAACCCTAAATGACGCCGGCCCTTGGTCAGTCGACTCCTTCTACAGTTTATGGCCTCGACAAGGAAAGTTGTGTAAGATAACGCGTTGCCAGTCAATCCCTTATCAGCCCTTCCTGAGAGGCTGGATGGGGTGTTTGTGTGTTCGGATGCACTCACTCGGCTCACAGACATCTGGTTGGTGGTCAGCGTTCCCGTCTTGTCGGAGCAGATGACAGAGGTGCAGCCCAGGGTCTCCACAGAGGGCAAACTGCGCACGATGGCGTTCTTCTTGGCCATACGGCGCGTCCCCAGAGCCAGGCAGGTGGTGATGACAGCAGGCAGCCCCTCTGGGATGGCAGCCACGGCGAGAGCGACGGCGATTTTAAAGTAGTAGACTGCTCCCCGGATCCAGGAGCCTCCATGGACCGGGTCGTTGAAGTGTCCGATGTTGATGATCCACACCGCGATGCAGATGATGGAGATGACTTTGGACAGCTGCTGCCCGAACTCGTCCAGTTTCTGCTGCAGTGGCGTCTTGTCCTGCTCCGTGGCCACCATCTCGTCACGGATCTTCCCGATCTCTGTGTTCACCCCTGTGGCCACCACTACGCCCACGGCTTTACCAGCGGCAATGTTTGTGCCCTGGGAAAAGACATGGGTCAGTTTACACAGAAAGAAAAACATGTTGAAATGGGTTTTTTAAAATAAAACTTAGGGTTTTAATATATTCAGAAAATACAAAATAAAAACATTGTATACTGAAGGGATGTTTGGGGGTGATATAAACTTACAGAAAAGAGCATGTTCTTTTTGTCCTGATTAACAGCCCGAGGATCAGGAACTGGATCGGTGTGTTTGATCACAGACACAGATTCTCCTATAAAAAGAACATAGTTAGTACTTGTAAAAGTTTGTGAAAGTTTTTATGACACAATTATTGCAGCAACTGGGTTTGGGTTAGTGTTTACAGAAAAATTCAGGGCAACAAGCATCTTACCGGTTAAAATGGACTGGTCCACTCTCAGGGTGGTCGACTTGATGGAGCAGATCCGTATGTCTGCAGGAACCTTGTCCCCAACTAAAATCACAGACATACAGAAGATCAATAAAATACGAAAGAGGAATACACCACTGTCTCAAGATCATCACTTTCGTTAACACTGCATCACATTGGTATGAAGAAACACAAAATGAGATTGTTTTAAAATTAATTGCTTCTGCTAAGGATAGGCAATTATTCTATGCAGACCAAATTAGTTCTTGTTGTGCTCTTCGTTTCTTTTTATAAAGACAATAAATTACAAGATAACGTGGAAAGTTTTTTTGTGTGGAGTAAAAGTATTAAAAGAGTATTACATAACCCTTACAAGCTCTAGGGAAACACCTGTGGAGGCACTGTGTAGTTTCCACTTTCATAAGATAAATGACTGTGAGCTTTCTGTTGGCAGTGTCTCAGGTCTGGAGTAAACTGGCAAAAGCAGCCTCATTATTAAAGGCCATTGAGCGGCGCGGTCAGGTCTGTGGATGGGCCAAAAAGGAGAACCAAATAAAAGGAGGAAACAAAATCAGCATGAGCCGTAATGGTCCGTCTCAGAGGGAAAGGCTGCGTTGGGAACGGAGGACGGAGCTGACCCACTTCGGCTTCGTCTGCCACAGAAGAGCTCCAGGAAATGGGGAAATGGCACACTTCCACCAACTTTCACTTTCATCACATGTTACTAATGGATGAAATAAACAAAATCCAAGATACAAACACAAATGCGCTGCAAAAACACACCTTCATAGGAAAAACCTGTGAGAATGAACTGTGCAAATTTCTTTATGTTCAGGATACACTACTATAGCTATGAACTCACTATAATCCCATTCAAGGGAAATTGAACAGTGCCTTCATCAATATACACACTGTGCAAACTATTCAAATATTTACTTTGCTTTGAGTAAAGACGACAATGTTCCCAAATAAAACCTTGCAGAAATGTCCTGTTTTCTGGGAATTCATAGACAGCATAATTTCCAGAGTGGTTAGTTGCTCTGAATGTTGTCAGATTTAGAAATGACCTTGCAAAGTTGTGAGATTGCCCTGAATATGTTCAAAATGTTTTTCATTAAGTAGCAACAGTAACAGTTAAGGCTGTGTGTTTCCACTTCCGACACGTCTGGCTTCTTCCAGTTTTGTCCCGTTACAAGCGCACATAGTTGGGTTCTATTATAGTCCTGGTCTTTGCCTAGGTCTTTGTCTCATAATGTATTGCAAAGAGGCCTCCCTGGACAGTCTTGACTTAGAGAAAGGAATAGTTGGACAATTACTTCCTTGATGGGGAGGCTTCTCTGTACACAACTTGCATGTTAAGACAAATGCATTGGCCTGGCAAAGACGCAGAGAAGGATCCGACCAGTGGCGTTCCAAGGGTACCCCGGGAACCCAGGCAACAGAGTCCTTGGGGGCCCCAATCCCGACCACATCACCAGATTTTGTAATCCTAAAAAATCAAATCTTTTATTTGGCCCTCTGTATTTATATATTCTATTTAAACACTGAGGGCCAAATGAGAGATTAGGCTCTTAGCTTTGCATCTACCGTTCTTGAGCAATCTGTCATAAAATATATGTATTGTAATCCAAAATATAGGACTCACTCAAATTCGAACGCAGGTCGTCACGGTACGAGCGCTGCAACTTCACCACTAGACCACTATGACATACTACACTTCCCCAACTCCAGGCAGGCTTTTTAACTGTTAATGAAGAACGTGGCAAGTTTTGTCACTGCAGGTAGCTGTTGTAGCCCGTACAAGTCGACCGCTTGTGTCAAATCAGTCGGTCCTCGGGAGCCCCTTGCCAGTTTGGAGACTCCAGGCAGCTGCCTGCCTTGCCTAATGGAAACGGGCGCCTCTGGATCCGGCAGCCTCCCCCCTGTGATCCCCGGCCCCTTTTCTGCACTGGGCCTTGGTAACTCCGCAGACTGATGCAGAACCTTTAAATCATGTGTCTCTTTGTGTCAACATCCGACTTGGTTTGTGGCCAGCGGCTCCTCAGCTCCACTACGGTTCTGCTCATTGTGCCACTTGCCAACATACACACAGTCCCAGATTACGTTTTACAATGACAAATGCCAAACCCGGTTGAGACATTGTGCCAGCTCATTGCTAGCTGTTGGTTAAAAAGGTCAACATTTGTGTTCTCTCTGATGTAGCTGACATTTATGGTCATAAATGGTGAAAAATGAGGCCAACGGCGTTTCTCTTTTTGCACCGAGCATTAGAGAAGACTTTCTGCACTTTATGTCCAAATATTTTAACATAACACGACAAACATACTTCCCCCATATCATTCAAAATGGAAACCTGGGCCTAATTTTTCACATGGATTTGGGAACCAATCACAGGACAGGAAACCATATCACGACGATGATGACGCACTATTATACAGACGAAAGCTTGGCTCTCCTACGAGTGAATGAATGGATGGTTCGCAGACTAAATATTCACTTGTGATGTGAAGTCTGGTGTAAGTCAGGATTCTAAAAAATAGTAACTTCACCTGGAGAGGGAACTAAACTTCACTTTGAAATACACAATTCATTGTAAAGTGCATCAGAGGTCCGACTACACATTTCACAATTAAGTTGGTTGCATTAAAAATGGGATTTGCACAGCACGCATTCCGATCACCAACGAAAGATCAACATGTGGAGCAGTGCTGTGGACAAGCTTGGGACAATGATTCTTGTTTTGGTTTTGTTTTTTGGATAAATGCGCTTAGTTTATTGTCCTGTGTATGTGTATTTTCTTTTTGAAAATATAAAAAATATATTTTTCTAAAAAGCCTTTTTGGTTACAAGTTTTTTTCCCATTTATTTCTGGATCAGACAATCCAAACTGATAACGAATATTCCCTGAATAATTTTGAATTCTGAAAATAAATCATTATGAATTTAATGAAACACTCCAAATAGATGACCTTGAGCATTGACAGATGCCAGGAGCGGCTGATGCGTTACCCCCTTTCTGACTGACAGCAGGGGGGGCAGACAGGGAGCAGGAGCAGCACTGGCACCTGCCCTGGTCGTGTGTTCGCGGGCGGGTTCTGTTTCGGGACGGGCCCCTTCTGAGCGGCCCAGGAGGCTGCATGTGCTGATGGCAGCCGAACAAAGGCCTGACCTCCTGTTCATGTCGAGAGGGCTCTTTCTGAACAGTCAACAAGGGGAACATCGCTCTGCTCCTGCTGATACTGTAAAGACATATCTTTCCAGGTGTCAGCAAGCTCAAGAGTCAAAAATAAATACTTTCCTGTAAAATAAGCAAGCATTAAAAGTGCCTGTACCTACAGCCTTTTACAGTCTGTGTGAATCTAATAAAAGCCATTTAACTCGTAGATAGTTTTCACATTCTATAGCTATTTATATTTTTATATAGCTTTCTTACAAGTATGCAAAAGATAAAAATGTTGAAAATGGCATGTTATCTTTTTCCTTTGACAAGTCTCTATGTTGGGACACTGTTATTTATGTAAACCATAATGAGTTATGCTTTTTTCGCAACTTCAAAAGACCACAGCTCCACTGTCAGTGACTTACTGCAAGAGTTAGCATTGTACGCAGAATTTCTGACAAAAAAGCAACTCTGATCAGACTCAAACAGCAGTAAAATAAATATTTAAGAGCTGCCCTTACATCATATCAACACTGTGCTCATCCAAACTTATATAACATTTGTTTTATCCCAGTTGTTGCAGGCCACTATGGCTCACACATCGTTACATTAAGGCAGGAGTATTCTACTTATGTTTCCTTAGGTCCAATTCTTCTTAGTGGCCATTAGCTCACCAAACACCACATCAAAGATTTAATGACAAATATCTAAAACACACAATATCTAATTGAGTTACAAAGGTGCACTTTTATTGATCCCTGTAGGGCAATTGATCCTCTGCATTTGACCCATCCTGATGCTGCTAAGGCTCTTGTGTCAGGAGCAGTGGTCGCCATAGTAATACCCCGTTTCCACTCAGAAATACCCCGTTCTGACCGGGATTCGAACCCAGGACCTTGCTGAGAGGCGAGAGTGCTATCCACTCAGCCACCGCGCCACCCGCCAAGATAAATATTTATATGGAAAACTGAACTGGACTTTGACTAGATGATTAGGTTAAATTGATCTTGTTTTAAGACTGACAAAATTACTAAAAATCAAGATTTAAGAATTTACTGCCGCATATTTGATCCCTTTTAGCAGTGGGATAGGGCTGAGGGCTGGATTAGATTGTTCAAAACATAGAACCAATACCACTAAGCTCCAACAACAAATGGAGAAGAAATCAGACGGTTGGAGAAAAGGTCCCTTGAAAAACTAATTCTGACAGGGTTCAAAACTCAAAATGACTTGACAATACTAGTCCCATTCCAATGGATGGCTCAAATTGGTTTTTTGAACTTTTGTGCGTATGTATTTTTCAGTGAAAAACGGCACACCTCAACTGAAGTTTACACAAGACCGAACATAATGTCATACTGTATAATTAGCCTCTCCAAACTCACAAGTACATTATTTGCTTTGAGGGCTGAAACTATTGTTTGCAGAAAAGCGCACGACATCAAGGAACTCTCAAAACTACGCAGAGCAATTACAGGACTACACAGTTAAACTTCAGTGCAAGATAAATATTTATTTTGCCTTTTCTCGTTCCAGTTGACTTCCTGTCTCGTCATCTCCAAACACGTGGCCTCTGCTGACTATGCGGATTACGCAAGCTGCATCTTGGCTCGGCCTTTGTCTGTCATGAATGTAAAAACAGGGAAAACCAGGCACCGCTCAACGGTTTCAGTTGCTGTAGAAATAACTCATCACAACAACTTAGGTCGGAAATGAACCCCCCCCATCCCAGACCAAAGTTGAGATGAGAAAGAAGGAGTTAAAGGCATTTCAAAGCAGAACACCCACATCAACACAGAGACACATGAAGGGATAAGACACGAGTTTGATCACTGGACTTTTGTACTTTCTTCTAAAGTTACAAAGAAAACACTCCGGGGTAAAGACACGCTGAGACAAGTCTACCATTTAAGGTGGATACTAA